AATGTGCTTGGGAGTCTTGCTTGTCCTCATACACTCCCCAGACATCTGATCCTATTTTATAAAGCTACATCCCTTTAATCTCTAAAATTAACCAAACAGAGGTAAACACAGTATTCCTGACTGAGACTATTTATCTCCTAAATGCTTTCGGCAAAGCAGATTGCTCCCTGGGCAAGGAACACAATCCAACGTTATTGTCACTCAAGTGGAGAGAAACGGGCCACTAGTGATTTGCTAAATTTTGCAGCACTGAGTGAGTTTTGGAGATCCTGTGAAATCCCAGCCACACACTCAAGTCTGCCTGTCCACAGTGGGAAGAATTTTCCTCCTCTAATTTCACCTGGTCCTCCCGGACTGTTTATTAAAGATGTATATTTTATATCAGCAGAGCGTATCAAGTAACTTCTTGGCAAAGGCAGCTGTATTTTCAGGATCTATTAAGATTCTTCGTGGAAATTTAAATACCTCTGTCAGGCAAACAAAATCATATCAGGAATCATAGAATTTCATTGCTAGAAAGAGAAATTAGATTAACCAACCCACACTCCTTTCCTAGAACCCTCAATAAAATAGAAGTAACATTTTAACAGTCTCTCACTTCTGGTCTGAAGGAGCCTCACAAGAAATCTAAATGAATTTATAAGAAAGTAAGCTATCCTGAGGAAAGCCTTTCAAATCTACAAAAGTTGTGTATGTGGCTATATTGGAGAATATATGAGTATATATTGCATATTAGAAGGCACTGGCTATTTAAAATCAAAACGGCCAGAAAAATCCAGTAGCAGAAACCATGACAAGTTCAACCCTGTTAAGCTTCAGCCCCTTAAAACATCCTTGTCCTTTATTAATATTTAGTGGAAATGTATAATTGCAGATGTGTGCTAGGTTGGGGTTTTATGTCGGGAGGCGGGCAAAGAAGACAGGTTTATTACAGCCATGAAATATTAAACAAGCACCAAAGAACAGTAGTTGTATGTCCTAGCCTAGCCAGAGAGCAGGCAGGCCCGAACGTCAGCTGCACAAAGGGGGCCCCTATCTGTTTACATTACCCCTGATTAACACGGGCGAAGTTTTGGGTTACATCTTCCGGAGGCACAAAAGTCACATGAAGGCATGTGTCCCAGAGTGGGTGGTTCTGCGAAGAAACAGGGACTGAGATGCTCCTTGCTTTCCCCAAACAAGTTTAAGTTAGCTTTACAAATTCTCTGCATGGTGTAGAGAGGAAGAAAAGAAGACTCAGGAGAAAAAACAACAACAGTGCTTTGCTCTGAGGCTAAGACTTCCCTCCCTCCCAAGTCTGCCCCATGGCTGAAGAAATGCAGTGCTCAATTCCTGCCCACCTAGTATTTCTCAGCGCTGCTTAACTGTTCCAAATGGAATGCTGAGAGGCACAAGATTCCAAAAATTTCCCCCACATGGCTGGAAAAACATCAGACTTCCAAAAAGAGCAAGATTGGATGCAGAGTGCCTACCAAGGCTGCTCCCATTTCAAAGTGTGCAAAAGACTATCCTATACTATTCTGGGTTTTGAGAAAAAGAGTGACCAACAGAAAGGAAGTTTGGCAGGGATAATTACGGGAAGAGATTTATTCAAGTTTTGAAAATTGTAAAGGGGCAAAAGGGGAAAGCATACTTTATCTTCCTTAATATATATCATCTATACATCCTTATCGATACTCTAGCATTATTTGCCCTTTTGGCACTGTTTGGAAATTTGTTGGTAGCCACACACACTATTACAAAGATGGACAGAGGATTTTGCAAACTCTTTTTAAATTCACATCATACACATAGATTGAATAGATGTCTGAACAGGAACAAACTCAAACTGGTTGTGTGTGTGTATGTGTGCGTGCGTGTGTGGTTCCCCTTTTCATAATCTCACCCTTCCCCCACCCCAACTTTCTGTGAACAGAGCCTTGTGACAGATAAAGAGTTGCATTATATAAAAGTTGTTTGGTGGGTTGATTAAGAAGTCAGGAGAAGAATAATTTGAAGAACTTGTTTTCCTGTTACATAAAAAAAATCATAATCGCTTGTCATTCTGACCTAGACTTTACAAGAGCTACAACTTGCCAATCAAGTGCCCTCCCCTCCAAAGGACACCGAAAGCCCCTAAGACAAGCTGGGCACGTCCCAGCGGCTGCAGGCCCCATACAGTTCTGAACACGATTCATTCCCTCCAATCCCAGCACAGATCATTTTGTTAAATACCGAGGAGTATTTCGTCATCTGAATGAAGAATTTCAGAAACATTGTTAATGTTTAATCACATTAGTACTGGCGTATTTTAGGGTGTAGCAAAATAAAATATCATTACAAAAATGGGCTTTGCCTGAAAGGGGCTGAGAGGGCTGAGGAAGTGCCGGCTGGGGCTGGAACCTAGCGAAGGTATATTCAAAGCCATCAGACGTCACAGCTCCCTGGGTAATGGGGCTACAAGACATGTTTTTAAGGAAAAGCAGAACATTTTGCCTGAAATTTTTCCCTGACTCTATTTCAAAGTGGCACACTTCACTCTGATTTTCAGCCAGGGGACTCGGGGACCTGTAGAAAGCTCTGTATACCTATTTATACAACGTGCGCAGATGGAACTGCAGGGTGTTATCATAATGAAAAGTTTAATCATCCTTATTTACTACCAGTAAGGGAGCAGGACTCAGACACAGAAACCTTAGAAAGCCTTCAACAGCAGCCTAAGGCTGCAGAAGCTTGGAGTGACCTCAATTCCAGGCTTTATCTGGGAAACTGTCCTTCCCACATCAGAGAGAAAAACAAAGGAGGTCAAACGGGTGTCCCTGCCAGCCAGTGCTTAGGAGGTGGCCAGCCCCGCTGGTCCCTGAAGGAAGTCCCTGTCTTCTCATATGCAGAGGGGGCTTCATTCAGTTTATAGAGGAAATCAACCCTGAAGTGACTAACATCTGTTTCCAAAAAACTATTTTTGCTCATCTGACTGTGAAAATGAAAAAATAAAATGTTTCTTCAATGACATTTCTTCATTCACAGCCTACATCTCTTTCTCCCTCTACCCAGTAAAGGAAGAACTGGCAAGAGGCTAGAAGGATTCCTTTAGGAAAATCTCCTTAAAACCACTCAATACTTCTCCACCTAGGAGAGCCCTTTCAAGGAGAGGATGGAACCAGCATTACTGGTTTTCTTTATTAGTTCACTAAACTGTTTTTTGTTTTTTTTTAACTTTTCTCACCCTATTTTGGTCAATATGTTCTTAATTACTGGAGAGTAGGGGTAAAAAGAGAAGGGGAAGGGGCAGCCCGGCCGGCCAGGTAGAGGTGACAGGGCTGAGATGTGTGCTAACCAGCTATCGATCGGGCCAGATCAAGATGTCGTGTACAAGAAAATAAAAGAGAGGGGAGGAGGGTGCAGCAACCAGGATGGTGTATCCAACTCCATTTTAAAAAGGAAAAACAAAGCTGAGGGTCCCAAACTAACCAATTTACGGCCTTGCCTGGGAGTAGCCCGGAGCACGCCGATGCTGGATGGACGCAGTGTCTGCTGTGCATGCTAAACACCCGTCTTCAAATGAGAGCGTGCGTCTCGCCGTCCCGGGCTGGGCAGTAATCCGAACAAAGAGAAAAGCAGCAAGCTTGCTTTCATGAATTAGAAAACCTAAGGGGGAAAGCTCCTGGGGCTGGCCGCCCTGGAAGCCCTGATTTCTGAACCACCCAGTTCCCAGACAGCTCCTCCCTCCTCCCCGGCCCCCACCCCCACCCCCGCTCGTTCCCTTGAAACCTACCCTCACCCTAATCCCAGGGTTAAGAGATGGCTGGATGTAAGGAGGCCTAGGGAAAGAGAAGGAAAAAACTCGAAGAGATGGCAAGGACCAAGAAGCACCGTTTTTAAAAGACAGTGTTAAATCGCCAGCTCCACAGTAATCTTCTGCCCACTGCAACCCAAGGAATTCAACTAGGGTTTAAAAGAAAAGATAAGAGAGGGAGACATGATGTTATCTGATTTTCAGAAGCTATTAGTTCTATTTTTATAAAAAGCTCCATTAAAATAAAATGGATATGTACTGCAGCCCAGTCATCTTTTGGTTTCAAAGAATTCTCAGGACTTTAACCGGAATGGTGGTCCCTCTACTCACCTCCACCCCTCCCACCTTAAAGGCCTCCAAGCCTGTTGGGGAGGGGCGCTTAGGATGCAAACTAGAACTGGGACTGGACATCTGTCACCAAAGCCAAGCAAGATATTGACAAACGCGGGTCCTTTTTGTCTTAGGAATATATATCCATACTCCATACACAAGTGATGTCCTCATGGACGGGTCTGGGGTCTGCCAAACAGACCCCCAGCCCCTCCATACCAAATGTCAGGGAGATGTACCCTGAAAAGTAGCCTACCACTGACAACACCTACAGGTCTCTGCTTTTTTGATTTTTACATTTTCCAACAAAACTCTAATAGTCCAGAAGAGACAAAACAGCTATTCATTAGGAACAAATGTCAAATGGGGCACTGCCTCCGAGTGATGCTGCTGACACGGGCGCTGGTAACTTTTTTAGTAAAGATGCTGTCTCCTAAGAAAACTCCAGCTGGAGGCTGGCTGACTAGGAAAAGGTGAGGAGGCATTAATACAACTTTCCAGGTGTCCTGCCAGGAAATGGGGCATACAGCTCCTAAGGAGGGGACTGGCCTGAACACGAAGGGTGGGGACGGATCTTGAGAGGAAGGGAAGGGGCCTCCTTCTCTGAGTGCTGCACGGTGGGCTACTCAGCTAAAACCAGGTGTGGGGCTGACTCTACAATGAGTCTCAAAAGCTGCCAGCTAAGTTCGTGCTATCCTGTAGATCCCTCGTCTACCTGGCGACCCTTGCTGATGGGCATCCCTGCAGCCTTTTGGTAACCAAGTAGGGTTACCCAGCTCAGAGTATACAGCTCTGTGTCCTCCTAACCCCGAGGGACCCAGGGGCAGTGGCTAAGGTCTGCCCTGGGGATGGCTGGGTCAAGAGGAAATGAAAGGGACCGCGGGTATGAATATACCTTCTTTGCTGTTGGGGTTCTGGGGTTTGCCCTTCTCCCAAGGTGCCAGAGTCTTGTCGTCCTCTGAGCCGTCCACCAGGGCCTTGTCAGCTGGCATGTACCAGGTGGCGCTGTGCTCCGCCATCAGTGAGTCCAGGTCGATGGTGCTCATGGCACTCTTGACCGCCTCGGAGCAGCAGCTCCCCAGCTCACTGTCACCGTTCTGCGTGCCCGCGGCCCCGACTGAGCATTCACCCTTCTTGCCACCCTTGAGCCCCAGGGGCTGGTCCTCAGAGATGCTGAACTGCTGCCTCTGCAGCTGGATCTGTGCCTGGAGAATCTCCAGAGGGTGGATCTCGTCCTGGGGTGGCGCACCGCTGCTGCTAGTGGGGGTCCGGACCTGCTCCAGGCCCGGAGTGCCCGGATGGCCAGAGCCCCCGCCCCCGCCGTAGCTGTCAGGGGTCGAGGTAGAGGTAGACATGATGCCCAGGCCGAGCGGGGGTGGAGGCGCCTTCGGTCCATGTTCGGTGCCCACCCCTCGCGGAGGGAGTTTGGGTGAGCCAGTCACCAGGGGGCTCCTGCTGGCTTTGGCCAGGACCGGAGGGTTGTCGGAGCTGGACGACACTTCGTCCTCATTGGTGTAGCTCGTACTCACCTCGTCGGAGGTGAACTCACCCACGTGGGGCGAACTACCGTTCGACTTGGCCCCACCGTCCAGGGATGCCATGAGGTCTGGCTGGTCCCCCAGGAGCAACTCGGCCCCTTTCCCCCACGACGGCGATGTGAGTGTCTTCTCATGAGGCGTGGGCGCCCCGCGAGCCTCGCTCACAGAGCTTCCCCCTACTACGGCAGCGCCTGGAGCTGACTGCTGCCCCGGGCTCACCCCAGGAGCGCCCCCGCTGTCGGGAGCCACTGAGTACTTGTCAAAGAAGGTCCCAGGGCTCACGTGACCACTGTCCCTTTTTCTGCGACCCCGTCCCCGGCCACCGCCCCCGGGGACCGGCTTGCCGTCGTTCCCCGATGTGGACTCTAGTGTGTAGTTGGGGGAGAGGCTAGTGCCATCCCCCTGGTTGGGTGGGTTTGACGGCCCTGAGGCTTTGGAGCCACTGCTGCTGGTCCCTGCCGGGCCTCCGGGTCCCGGGGCCCCAGGAGCAGGCCCCCCAGGGAAGTAATCCGAGCCCGGGTTGCCGGCCACTGCCGCACCGTCGGTGTCATTCTGGCTCAGTTTCCTCTTGCCCTCGGGTGGGTTCTTCTTGTTGAAGGTCACGTTGAGGTTGGGGGCCCCCAGGCTGGCGATCATGTTCTGGCAAGCAGTGGAGAGCGCAGCCAGGCAGCTCTGGCCAAACAGGTTGTCCTTGGAGCTGGGCTTGTTGAAGGAGCCCAGGGAGAGTGCACCCAGCTTACTGGCCGAGGTGCGCTGGCTGGGCTGGAAATCCGGCTGTGGTGGGTACGCGCCCCCGCCACTCCCGGAGCTTCCACTGCCCCCGCCCGCGCTCGGGGGCGAGTTGACGCCGGGACCGCTGTGCGGAGTGGCCTGCCTGCTCCCTGCGCCAAACGGAAAGCCCGGCTGGCCCCCGAGCCCCGGCGCGGCGAAGTCCGGTGGCGGGGGCCGGCGCTCCGAGGACGCGCTGGGCAGTCCCACCCCGGCCCCAGGCGACTGCAACTGGCCCAGGCCAGCCAGGCTGCCCCCGAACTGCAGGCCCGGCGAGGGTAGCGCGGGCACGTGGCCCTCTCCGGGCATCCTCAGCGGCTCCTGCAGAGGGCCCCGGAACAGCACCCCTGAGCCACCGGGCGGAGGGGGAGGCGCCAGGCCCGGGTCGTGCGGGCCGCAGTCAGCCGGCAGGCCCGAGCCGCCCATCCTGCGGGGCATCAGGTCACCGGGCGGCGGGTGCGGACCTGGGAACCATGCGCTCTCCTGGGCCAAGTGCGGCGCCTGCTGCTCGAAGGTGCCCAGGCGCCCCGCAGCACCCGCGCTGGAGCCTTCGCGCTCAAAGTTCGGCTGGGCCAACCCGCCCACTGGGCCGCCGTGGACCAGACCACCCTGGCCCACGTCCCCTGGGTGGCCTAACTGGGCCAGGTTGGGCTGGCGCAGACGCTGTTGCTGATTCCGCGACGCCATCTGTTTAATCATGAGAGCTGCGTTTTGGCGTTGCTGCTGCTGCTGTTGCTGTTGCTGTTGCTGCTGTTGCTGCTGTTGCTGCTGCTGCTGCTGCTGTTGCTGCTGCTGCTGCTGCTGTTGCTGCTGCTGCTGCTGCTGCTGCTGTTGCTGCTGCTGCAGGGACTGGTGGTCCGGGGCCGGGTGCTGCAAGGGAGGTCCTGAGGGAAAGCTGTCGGGTACAGGCGGCGTGAACTCGCCGGGTAGGCCCGGGTAGGCAGAGGGCGAGAGGTGGTTGTCCAGAGCCCCGTTGTGCATGCTACCATTCCACGAAGACGCGCAGCGGTCCACTCCCGCTCCGCCTGGGAAGTCGAAGCGCGGCCTCTTGGCCACGTTCATGTAGGGGGGCGCGTCGAAATGCTGCAGCCGCTGGTTGGGCGCCTGCTGCGGAGGGGGATGCTGCATGTTGAAAACAGGCTCGGAAAAAGGATGCATGCTCCGGTTCTCCAGCCGGTGGATGGGGTACTCGAACTGCGCGTGCTGGCTGGGCAGCATGGGGCCCCCGTCCTGCAAGCCTCCACTGGGCGTGCCCGCCTCACCCTGCTGGGGCCGCGGGTGCGCAGGCGGGCACGAATTTTGTCGGACTAGAAGCCCGGGTGGCGGGGGCGGCTGCTGTTGGGGCGGTTGCTGCGGGGGCTGCTGCGGAGGGGGTGGTGGGGCCTGCTGGGGAGGCTGCATCAGCGGGTGCCTGGTGCCCACCCCGGGCTCCAGACCCACAGACATCTTTCGGGCCCCACCGAACCGCTCGAAGAACACGCCATGCTGCTGTTGCGGCTGCGGGGGTTGTGGAGGCGGCTGCTGCGGAGGCTGGGCGTGCATTTTGGACAAGCCCACCATGCCCGCAGCTCTGGGCATGGCCGAGGCACTCGGGAAAGAGCCCCCGGGAACCTGACGACCCGTGGCATAGTGAGGCAGCTGCCCCTCTGAGTCAGAGGGTGAAAACATGTCAAAATGTCCCGAGGGCGCCTCGCCCGAGTAATTGTATTCCAGCGAGTCGACGGCTCCTTGGTTCGTCACCCTCCGAGGCTCAAGACTGTGGGAATCGGAGCCGCTGGAGGCGGGGAGGCCGTGGAAAGAGGCGGCCCGGTTAGGGCTCTGGTCCAGCGGCAGGCACGGGGCGGGTACGGCGTGGCCCGAGGCGCCCGAACTGTGGAAGTCCGGGAGGTTTCCTGGTCGCTGCGGGCCGAAGCTCTCTGGCCCCTGGCTCTCTGCCATGTGCTCGTAACCCTCCGCAAAGGGCGGCTGGCTGCCCAAGCCCGAGGCAGTGCCGCCGTAGCCAAGCAGGCGACCCCCATGCAGGCATGAGGCCCCCGGGTCCGGGCCACCGAAGTTGCCCCCGAAGTGGGGGTGATGCTGGTGGGGGTGGTGGCCTCCCGGGTGGCCATGGTGAGGCTGCTGGCCGCTGAAGAAGCCGTGCACAGGCTGTGCCTGCAGCCCCCCTGTGTGCAACTCCGAGTGGCCCCGCGTGTGGAAGCCGTATGGCTCCATGTTCATGCCCAAGATCGGGGGCTCGCCCAGCGCACTCATGGCAGGGTCCACGGGGCCAGGGGGTCCCCCTGTGTGGAAAGCAGGGGCCTTAAAGTGGGCATTCATGCTCAGTCCGGTCTCGTTAAAGTTCCTCTCGCCCTGGCCAGCGTTCCTGCTGTTGATCTGGGGCTCGAATTGGTCCAGCCCAAACATACTTGGCGGGGGGCAGGGGGGGATCAATAGGGCATGACAGCTTGCTCTCCGCCGCGCGCCTCCGGCCGGCGACTCCTTCCAGCCTCGGATTGGGCGCTCCGGGACGCTCAGCACCGCGGGGGCGCAGCGCGCTCCGCCACCCCGCCAGGCGTGAGGAGGCCGGGGGCTATCAGCTCCTCTCGCAAAGCTCTGGATAAGCCCGGGGCGGGCCTCTCACATCTTTCGAGGCCTCGGGGCCTCCAGAAGCCGTGTTGGGGGGCCCATGCCCCGGGCAGTTGGCTCAGCTGCGGGTGGATTTGCAGGGAGAGGATCGAGCCGCGGATGAACAGAGACAAAAAGTTAAGTGGGGGAAACGGGGCGGGAAGGGGGAGTGGGAAAGCGGAACGATCACCTTCTGAAGTCCGATCGGGTCGATAAGGGAGCCCCAGGACGCCGCCCGCTGCCTCCCGGAGTCCGCGGAGGAGCTGCTGAGGGCCAGGAGGAAAACCCTTCAAAGCCGCGGCTGGCGCTGGGCACCGACAGAGCGGTCCCTCCCCCTCCCCCCGTAGTCCCTGCGCCCCGAGCCTCCGCGGAGCACGATCCGCTAGCACTGTCCCCGTCGGCTCCGGGCGAACGGCTGCTGTTTCTTCAGCGAGTCGGAGGTCTAGAGGCTCCGCTCCGCATCGCTGTGGTGGCCCCCAAGCCGAGGAGGCAGCGGGACTGAGGAGGCGGCAGGCGCCGGCGTCGGAGCGGAGGGTCTGAGAGAAGGCGCGGCTCCCCTGCCGCTCCCCTGCCCGGCAACGGGTGCGCTGCGCCCCAGCCCGCCGCTTCTCGGCCACGTCCGCCGCCTGCCGCTTCTGTCCTCCGCCGTTCGATCTGAGTTCGCGGGAGTCTCCGCACCCGGTTGCAGGCGCGGGCGAGTACAGAGGCGAGGGGCTGGGTCGCTCCAAGGCTCCGGTTCCCTGCCTCCGCGCCGAGGTGCTTCGACAGTCCCCCCTCGGACCCAGAGAAGGGGGGCGTACGCGGGTTAGGGGGCCACGCTGGGCCAGCGAGCTAAAGCGTTCCGACTGCGTTCAAGCCGGGAATGGGAGGGGGCGGGGGCAGCTCTGGGGGGTCCGCGCACCCCTCTCCAGGATGGCGGGGGGGGGGCTCTGCGTGGGGCGTTCCGAGGGTCTCAGCTCCCCTCTCGGTGTCTGCCTCTAGCCCAGCACCGGGAGAAGCAGCAACAAGTTTTGCATTTCAGCAATCAATTTCAGGCATTACATTTGCACCAATCAGCGCAGCCCAAGCTCCGGGCCAGGGGCGGGGCTCGCTCTTAAGGTGGTCCCGGGTCCTGGCTACGGAGGCCCCCGCCAGGAACCTGAACTACCCCAGCTCTGGGGTCCCCAGCGCTCGGCTCGCCTCGGAGTCCGGCGCCACTGCCCTGGGGGCGCGCCCTGGCCTCGGAGCGCAAGGGGCTGCAAAGGAGAATGGCGGGAGCTTGGCTTTGTTCACCGCCCCCCCATTCACACGGTTTCCAACTCCCCACCCCCAACTGAAGCAAGACCCGCCGGGTGGCAAGCGGGGGGGGGGGGCGGTGAGCTGTGCGGGGCGCTCAGACAATGAGGTCGCCTAGCAAAGGCCCTAGACTCGCGGAAAGTCGCTGTCTACCGCGCTTCCCTTGGGGTGAGCCCTCCCTAGTCTCTCCACTAACGGCGCCCAAGGTGGTCGACCCTGGGATTTTCCTGGAGGTTAAAGCGGACTGGAAACCCCGAAGTTAGGGTTCTCGAGAGACACGGACTCCTGCTTTCTCCCTCACTAGGACGCGCGCAATTGTTCCCTATTTCCAAGGTCCAGGGTTTCCGGTTCTCAGCCTCTGGCTTCTGCCCGGAGAAGCCTCCAGCAATCCGCCACTTTGTAGGGGGCACATCGGATAAGCCCAGCGCGGGAACTGCGAGGCGGAGCGTCTGGGAACTCGGAGAAGAGGGTGCACCGGTTGGCCCGGACACCAGGCTCCGGCCACCCGCCCCAAGCCTCAGGCCCTCTGCAGGAGGGAGCGAAGTTAGCCTCCTTAAAAGATCAATTAAACTGAAGAGGCCAAGGAGCAGAATTGGGTTGTGATACTAAAATCAATAGGAGTAATTTAATATCTGCCCTGCTCTTTATGAAATATTTATCCCAATAATCTTAGTTAAAATGTTTAGATCTTCCTGATCCCCACCGAGACTGAAATCTATCTTGCAATTAGAAGTTGGAAGTTAGAGGTGATGGAGGGTAGAAGTGTTTATTCTGTGTGTGTGTGTGTGTGTGTGTGTGTGTGTGTGTCCGCTCCTGCGGTCGTTCCTGTGTATTTTCATTTCTAAAGTGTAAGTAGAGGAAGAGAAGGAAAGCATTTAATTTTCTTTGCCATAAAGTAGCACGAAATAATTTTGCTGGCCGACCAGCATTCTTAGGAGAAAGGGAGAAAAAAAAGAACTTTCGTTGAAGCGGCCCTGATATCGCTATTAAATCTAAATAAAATTAAGCATGTTGTATAAAATGCCTCCCCCCCCACACACAAAAGAAAGTGTTTATCGCCCAAGTCTGTCTAGCGTTTGCTAAATTGCGCATGAAATCTGAAATGAAATAAACGTTATAATAAAACCAACCCCTGAGCCCTTTTTATTTAAAAACCTCAGAGTAAGCACTCCACCATTGCGAGCACGAGTTTAAAAGTTACCATGTCCTCTTCGAGCTGAGCCATTGCTCTCTGGACTCCCGGGAGGTGCTGCATGAAAGGCAAGCTAGGAAGTGGGCTGAATTTAGAAATGGGGAGCAGGACACAAGGTCTCCAGGGACTTCCAAAGGACCCCATCACACACACACACACACACACACACACACACACACACTCACACAAATGAAAACAAACAATAAAACCAAACAACTTTAAAACTTAGGAAGCTAAAGCAACCTCAGATCCAAGCCCCTCTGGAGTCTACAGATATATATTTTTTTCTTTTTGAAATTAAAAATGAAAATTACCCCCACCAAAAATGGGGTCCATAAATAAGCAACGGGAAGAAGTATTTGTACAGGGCGGTGGAGTTTTAAAAGGATTTTTCTGCAGGATCAGGTTGTTGGTCTGTGATTAAATATTGATTTTGTGTAATTAGTTTTCATGTGAACTATCCTCTTGCTGATAGCTTAGAGGTTTCAGAACTAGAAAAGAAATGGAATTGGACATGGAAATTATTACTTAGCAAAGTGACAGGGAAGCGAGAGCTGGAGCAAAGACTGAGGCTGGGCTGATTTAGGCAAAAAGAAATAAAAGGACCTGGGCAGGCCCCCAGAGACCCCCACACTCCAGGGGTCCAGGGTCTCCTGGCAGAGCAGGGGAGACCCTAGAACTCCTGGTGGAAAAGGGGACCCTTAGTGGGAACAGTTGTCAGAGGAGGATCCCACATGGGCAAAGGCCCGTGCAAAGTCTGTGACACCAGGTCACGTACTTGGCTGTGGATTGTGGGTGTCTGGAGAGGGGACTGCATGAATGGTCTTGTGTCTGCAGGGAATAGGGAGGAGTAAGGACCTGTCTGGGTTTCGGGGGTGGGCTGGGTGGGAAGAATGGCTCACAGGCCTGCAGTCTGGGGAGCCCCGGGTTGGGGTGTGCACTGGTATGTGGCATGATTTCACATCAGCTTGCACGGGGGTCCCCTGAACACCTGGACAGGTTTCCTGTGGAATAATTCTGTGTGCTCAGGGTGGGCTTGGGATGGGAGTATTTTTCTGGGGCTGTTTCCAAGCTTTCTGCAGTGTGTGAGTATCTGAAAAGAGGGTGAGTTGGAGCCTGGTTGTGTTGCTGTTCAGGCCATGTGTCTGGATCCCCTTTCCTTAAGACTATGAATGTGGCACACGTGCTCATGTGCCAGCCTTCATGTCTTAGGCTGTGCTAGGCTGGTGGAGCTCTGTGTGTCCCATGTTTTTGTACACAGAAGGTGCAAAGCATACATGAATCTTTGGGTGTCTGTGTGTGCACAAGCTGGTTGCCCCAGCCCTGTGCTTCTCTGGGTGTGCACCCTTCTATGTGTTTCTGTGTGTGCCCAGCTGCCTTTTTGTGCCTCTACCTCTGCTGTCCTGTTTTCTACTGCAAGTGTGAAGGCGCATGTCTCTGCCTGTGCCCATCTGTGCCCATGTGTGCCCTGGAATGTGCACCTCCGTGATATGGGCGCCCCTGCGTGTGCCTGTGCATGCACTCCACCTGCAAGGGCCCTTGGAGCTTCTTGGAAACAGACACATTGCCCCCTAGCGCTCAGTTGAATTCAAAGTCCCTGCTGGCCAGACCCGGAGCTGCCGGATCCTCAGGCAGGGTCTGCCTGGAGCCTCCCCTCCCTTCGCCTCCCCTGCACCACCCCCAGGAGAGAGAGATGGCACCAGTTGAAGGGAGCTCACGGGCAGTGGAAGGAGGGGCTCAGCTGGACTGGAGCACCTGGGCTGGAGAGGGTGGCATGTGTGGGGGGCACCACCTGGAATGGTCCCCAGAGGCTGCTGGGGTGGGGTGGGAGGCTCCTCACTCAACCAAACACATGCAACCAGCACCTAAGCCCTCCACCTAGGGCACACCATCTGTACCCCTGCCTGTCAGGCTCACACTAACACACAGTGATCTGCCAGGGGGTGTGTCCACACACACACATGCCCCTCCACAGCAGACCCATCAGCACACATCTTGGCATGGCAGCCTCCCCCGTGTCCAGCTCTGCATCACCTGCCTTATATCCATGGTCCCATCTCATCCTCACTGAAACCCCATGAGTCAAGACTCTGAGCCTATTTTTCAGATAAGGATATGGAGCCTCAGAATGGGCAGCAGGGCTGGGTTCTGATCTGCTGACACTGGGGCCTGGCTCCCAACCACTGTCCAAACCTCCTGAAGGTCATTGTTAAAGGGAAAGGTTCATCCCAGCTTGGGGAGTATGGTGAATGCCCACTTACTGCCACTGCTGTCGTTATCAAGGGTGTGATGCAGATTTGTGTCATCTTCTCCCATGCAACCATGAGAAATTAAGCCCTCCCATGAGCCAGTGGACTTTGGCCTTTCAGCCCTAGATTCAGTCTTGTCCTCACCACTTCAAAGCTGTTCAACCTTGGGCAAAATATTTCCTTCTCTGAACCTGTTTGCCTTGTTGGAAAGGGACATCAGAGACAGTTCGTATAGGGTGTAAGGGTTAGGGCCAATGTTTATAGGGCAGCACAGAGGATGGCACATGGCAGGCATTCATAAATTGTAGCCCTTCTTATTATCATCATTATTTCTTCAGCATTTGAATCTACCAAGGTGCAGTAGTATAATGATCCCAGAGAGATCTGATCTATTTGACAAACCAGCCTTACTCACTAGCAAGCTGTAAGAGAAAGGGTGACTCCCTTTGCAGGTCACCCCAATCTTCCTGGCCTCTACTGGTGTAGACAAATGCAGACCCTAGTGCCTGTCCAGGTGACATGCAGTGCTGAAGCCTCAGAGAAGCCCTTCATGTTGCTGGGACATAAGAGAGAGGAGCTAAGTGGGGGTCAGAACATATGAAACCCTCAGGTAGCCATGGGCTGCCAGTTGCTAAGCAATAGCATCCCCTCCTTCTCTCTACACATGATGCCTGATAGTTTTGGGGGTCTCTTTTCTTCCATTTTTCCATTGAATGAATACATACCCAGTGCCTACTGTGTGCCAGGGTTCAGTCTGGGAACTCAGAAAATAATGTAAACTTCAGTCCCTCTCACACCAGATCAAAGGAAATCTGGTAGTTGATATGAAAACCACATCAATAAGCAACTAACATAGTTGTGTTGGGAGGGAGGAGAAATAGAGAGGGGATTCCTAAAGGTAGGTTTTGAAGGTAGAGTAGGAGTTTGACAACCAGATATAGCCAAAGGACTTTCCAAGCAGAAGAGTCAGGTTAGATGAGATGTGGAAAGCTCAGGCAGCAGTGAGTGAAACTCCAGAGGTCAGTGAGA